AGAATGTGACCTTTGGTTATTTAAATGATTATATATTCCTGAGTGCTTTTGTGAACATAAAAAAGAAAAAAGAGGGAACAGAAGCAAACACTGTTAAATGATGCATGGAGGGATTGTAATCAACGCAATGAAACAAAGTAAGATAGGATGAGTGCAAAACAAATGTTTTCTTGTGTAAACTATCACTCAATTCACAAAAATCTAAAAAACAAAAAAGCTGTTTTACTAATAACTTCTTAAATTTATGGGAATGTAATGTAAATCATTTACTGATGAAGATCAAAGAACACAGCCTTCGGTATGGGTTGCCTCTCAATGTCAGAAAAACAAAAATCCTCACCACTGGGCCAATAAACAACATTCTTATCGATGGAGAAAAGATTGAAGTTGTCAAGGACTTTATTCTTCTTGGATCAACTATCAACACTCGTGGCAGCAGCAGTCAAGAGATCAGACGACGTATTGCATTGGGCAAATCTGCTGCACAGGAACTTTTTAAAGTGTTGAAGAGCAGAGATGTCAGCTTGAGGACTAAGGTGCGCCTGACTCAAGCCATGGTATTTTCAATAACCTCATATGGATGCGAAAGCTGGACAGTGAATAAGGAAGACCGTAGAAGAATTGATGCCTTTGAGTTGTGGTGTTGGAGGAGAATACTAAAAGTGCCACGGACTGCCAAAAGAAACCAAGAGATCAATTTTGGAAGAAGTGCAGCCAGAGTGCTCCTTGGAGGCCAGGATGGCTAAGATTCACCTCTCATACTTTGGACATATTGTCAGGAGAGAAGAGTCGCTGGACAAGGATGTCATGCTGGGTAAGATGGAGGGTCAGAGAAAAAGAGGAAGGCCCCCAAAGAGATGGATCAGCCAGATGGCATCATTGATGGCGTCAAGTGTGGCAGTGGTGGTGGGCTTGGCCCGGGATCGGACACTGTTTCATTCTACTGTGCATGGGGGTCGCTATGAGTCGCTTCCGACTCGATGGCACCTGCCAAAACAACCACAATGTAAATCTTAAAGTGCTCTGGTAGCGTAGTGGTTATGAATCAGGCTGCTAACCTCAAAGTCAGCAGCTGGAAACTACCAGCCGTTCCGCGGAGAAAGATGAGGTTTTCTGATCCTGTAAAGACTGACAGCCACAGAAAGCCTGTACAGGGTTCACTATGAGTCGGAGCTGACTCCATGGGCACACCACCACCACCACCAATGTAAGTCTTATTAGTACATCTGCTTTTTATGTTTAGTTTGAGATTTCAGGGTTATGCAAGAGAGGTTATTTCCTAGTTTTATGACTCACATATTTATAAAACTCTGTCTCCGTATGTGCTTTAGCTGTGGACATGAGTTTTCCCTGGAAAATGCTAACAATAGCAGCTGCAATTCTCAATCTTTACTGTGGTTCAGTATCATGGAGACGGCATGAGAGAATTCGGAAGGACAATGACATATGGACTTCCAGATAGGACATATAGGAACCAAATGCACTGTGTCTGTGGGAAGAGACAATGGAAAAAGCAGCTCAATGTCAGTCAGAACAAGTCCAGCACCAACTATGAAACAGACAACCAATTGCTCATATGCAAGTTCAAGTTGAAGAAAATTTAAACAGTCCACAAGAGCCAAAATATGACCCTGAGTATACTCCACCTGTATCGCAACTGAATTTAGAATCAAGAACAGATTTGATGCAGTAGACATTAATAACCAAAAACCGAAAGAGTTGTGTGATGTTATCAAGAACATCATACATGAAAACAGCAAAAGGTCATTATAAAGGTAGGAAAGGAAGAAAAAAACCCACAAGAAGCCAGAACAGATGCTGAAACTTGCTCTTGATTCTAGAGTAGCTAATGCAACTTAAAGAAATGATGAAGCAAAAAAGCTGAACAGAAAATTTCAAAAGGCGGTTCTAAAAAGACCAAGTATTATAATGAAATGTGTAAAGACTTAGAGTTAGAAAACGAAAAAGATTACAAAAGCTCAGCATTTCTCCAGCTGGAAGAACTGAAGAAAGTGAAGGACTGCATGGGAAAAATATTTAATGATGTAGGAAGCCTCAAAAAAACATGACGAATACACAGTCACTTTACCAAAAACAAACTGGTAGCATATGATCACAAAGTGAAGGGACTGACAGAAATGCAAGCTGCACTGAAGGCCATTAGTGAGAAACCAAGACTTGACAGAATACCAAGGGAAATGTTTCAACCTAGCGATAAAACAACAGCAATTCACTCGTATTAACAAAGAGATTTGGAAGACTTGACCAACCCATTGGAAGAGATCTGTGCCCATTCCAAAGAAAGGTGACCCAATGAATCTAGAAATCATTGAATATCATTAATATCCCACGCAAGAAAAATTTTGCTGAAGATAACTCAAAAACATTTGCAGCAGTACACTGGCAGGGAGCTGTCAGAAATTCAAGCTGGATTCAGAAGAGGACATGGAACGTGGGGTGTCACTGCTGACAGCAGATGGGTAATGGCTAAAAGTAGAGACCAACAGAAAGATACGTACTTGTGGTTCATTTACTACGCAAAGGTATTTGACTGTAGGATAATAACATACAATTGTGGTCACGAGGTATCTGTAAAAAAGACCATGAGGCAGTTGTTCAAACAGAGCAAATACTGAATGGTTAAAGTCAGGAGAACTGTGTACCAGGGTTGTGAAATCCTTTCACTGTACTTATTCAATCTGTACACTGAGCAAATAATCAAAGAACCTGGATTATATGAAGAACATGGCAGCTGCACTGGACTCATTAACAACCTGCAATCGGCAAATGATACAATCTTGCTGCTGGAAGTGAAGAGGACTTAATGAAGATCAAAGACTACAGCGTTCAGTAAGGATTTCATCTCCCAACACCATACTGAAAGCACTGAGAATTGCAAGTGGAATATTTTGAAGTAGACTTCAGTTTAATTACATCATTTCTGTATTCAGTTTTTAAATTCTTCTTAACCCTACTGAATTTTTTTTTAAACTAAGTTAACATGGCTCCAATGAATCATTGAACTCCTGTGGCAGTCACATACAAGAATAGGCAATTTCTTATTACATACAATCCAACCAATGAGGCCTTAAACAAACTTATAGAGGAACTTAAGAAGTATGAAGTTAGCACAATAGTTAAGAGTATGTGGAGCACAACTTACGACACATTTCCCAAGAAGGCATCCATGTTCTTGATTGGCCTTTTGATGATGGCGCACCACCATCTACCAGAGTGCTAATGACTAGGTAAAGTCTTGCAAAAATTAACTTTTTTGAAGAACCGGGTTGCTGTATTGCTGTTCACTGTGTTGCAGGAGTTGAGAGAGCTCCAGAGCTTGTTGCATTAGTTGAAGGTGGAATGAAATATGAAGACGCCATACAGTTCATAAGACAAAAGCAGCATGGAGCTTTTAATTTTGTATTTGGAGAACTATCATCCTAAAATGGGTCCACACCTCAAAGACTCCAACGGTCATAGAAACAACTCTTGCAGTCAATAAAACGCTTGCCTGATGGTATTATTTTGGAAGTGGAACTTAAGACAGGACCTAGTTTTTCATGCATACTTACCAACATGAGAGCGTGGTGAGTAAGTCTAGTAAAGCTCCCATAAGAGTACTGAAAGCAGTTTTGCCAGGCTACAAGCTTGAAAGAACTGCAATTTCCAAGGTTGGGTTATAACCAGCCTATCTGGACATTTAACAAAGGTTTCTTACTGTTCAGCATTTAAAATATGTACCAACAAAAAAATATGTACCAACGGACCTTTTGATCATTTGTACCAACTAACCTTTCCTGAAATCAGGTAGTATTGTTATAAGTCTTTAAATCTATTCCCATACCAGAACCTTATCAATATCTAAGAAATTTGGCATGATTATGTGCCAAAATACACAGCACAATACTTGTATATTTTTAGTATAATACAGAACTAAGAAATCTTAGGAACCGTGAGCACTAGACCTTTTTGTGCTTTATTCCTTCAGTCAATTCAAACATTGAAAAGAGATGCTATATGGTTATTTACATGCTCAGATTGTTGGGTTTTGTTTTGTTTTGTTCAAACCACGACTTAGCAGTGATTATTTAATGTCTTTCAATAAATTTCACTTTGCAAATGTCTTTTAATGTCTCCAGATCAAAAAAAAAAAACACCACCACCAAAAAACTTTAGTTAATTTAATGTTTGTACTTTGGGTACAACTTAACAGGGAGGGCCTGAACAAAGAACAGGAGGGGATTACTAAATATTTTTAGGGAAATGTTGCCATGGTCTTGTGCAGAACATATGGGATATGCTCTTTACTAAATATTTTTAAAAGGTAGAGATGCTTTCTTATTGTAGCTAAAACTGTTCTTATTCATACAATTTTTTAAACTTTTTCCTTATTTTCTCATCAATCATCAATTAGAAGTTTTTTATTAACTTATTTTTGTTTGAAGTGTGACTCCCCCACCTTTTCAACCTCTTGCAAAAAAAAAAAAGTGGGTTTCTGCTAATGAATTTAGCAGAGTCAAATATTTATATGCTTTTGGAGCTGTGTAACAATATTTGGATAACTGATCATTTGTTTTATTACATAATTGATAAAATAGTGATACATACTAATGCTATTTCAACCACATATTTGTACTGTCTGGGAATGTGTGGCTCTAGTTGTGTGAGACAAACAAAAATTGCCAGTGTTCACCAGCTTCTGAAAACCTAGTTACAAAAGCTTAAACATCTAAATAAATGATAAAATGCGTTTATCATGGGAAAAACAAAAAATAAAAACCAACTCTACACACAGGGCATAAAAAAGTGGTAGAACTCTTTGTTCAGAGGAAAACGTCCCAGAGCGTGACATTTCTTACTAAAGGTTACACTACAGGGTAGTGTTCTAAACCTCCACTGCTCTAGTAAACACTATATATAATGTACTTGCAGGTTTTCTGTTTGTGAAATGATGTTAGAGCACTAATTCTGAAACTGTTTTTAATAAAGCCAGAACTTACTGGTGGAGAGGCAAAACGGCACGATGGAGAGCTGCCACAGGAGTTTCCAGGGACAGAACCAGCATATACAGGTACTGGAACTGGGCAAGCTGGAGAAATACAACACAGGGAAAGGGGTGTAAACTTTGTAGTTCAATGATATGATTTGGTCTAACAGGGAAACATGTCAAAACAACATTTTTGTGATGGATAAAAATAAGTATTACTCTGCTACAGGGAAACCTGTGAAAAGCTGAAACCCAATGGGACTGCCTTGTTTATCTGGAGCTAATAAGTTTTCTGCCTTAGAAAGAGTGCAGTTTTTCCACCTTTCTATTTAGTAAAAAATATGTCCGTTTTCCATATCTGAAAGTTTCTGCCTTACTAAAGTTCCAGTTTCACAAAACGGTTATCAAGTGAAAACAAGCATAAAAATCTAGGAAACAGTTAAGGGAAATTAGAAAAGCACAATTAATAACTGATTTTACAACAAAATACTAATGATTTTTTAAGTTTCTAGTCACTCTTTAAGTAAAAATGCCAACACTGAGTACTCACATTTTTTTACTGGAACTTGCTCAAGAAAAGGATGGCTAAAAAATGCTTCTGTAATAAAAAATGAGAGTGCAGTCTTTAACGTGACTTTAAATATCAGATAGTTTAATCTTCTCAAAGTGTTCAACATAATGTCTTTGAAATGATATAATATATATATTTATGCTAAATTTAATGCATATTCATAATCCATTAAAATTCCAGAACATCCATTACCAACAAAATTTCTTTAATTTCAACCATATTCAAGAAGATAAAACCATGGGAATTCTGTAACACTAAGGTTCATGGTTAAGGACATATAAAGCTAAGTCAAAAACTATTACTGCAAAATCATAGAACCCTTTCTTACACAAAAATAACAAAATGTGAAACTCTTGTTTCTTAACATATCCTTCATCTAGCTATATGAACTTCTGAAAGTGATGTTTTCATCACTTTAACCCTTTCCCTGAAGAATTCTATACGCTGATGCATACCTCAAAATGACAGTTTTGGCATCCATGAGGGACTCAAATTGTGTTCCTTTTAATATTGAGTTTGGGGGACCAAAAGGGCTTGAGGGGAAGGTCAGGTTTGCAGAGTGGATGGGGTAAGATTTCCCAACAAACTTCATGTTGGACAGCCCTTGTTACCCTCGAAGAATGAGCAGGTACACTGTTGTGATGAAAAAAATGTTTCAGCACAACTTCCTGGTCTTTCCCTCACCAATGTAGTTTCAAGTTTCTTAAAGCTTCTTACAAATAATCCCACCCTCACCATCCCACTGCCCCACCCATTAGCATCCTGTCTCCTTCAAGAATAGCAATCAAGACTGCTGTTGTTAAGTGCCATCAAGTCAGTTCCAACTCACAGACAATGAGCTACTGGTGAACTTGAACCTCCAACCTTGCAGTCTATCAAGATTGTTGTTGTTAAGTGCCGTCAATTCCGACCCATAGCAACCCTGTACAGGGTTTCCAAGGAGCAACTAGTGAGCTTGAACCACTGGCCTCGTGGTTCCAACGACTTTGCCGTCCAGCACATTAGCCCACAGTGCCACATAGCCCTTGTTGTTGTTGTTGTTATGTGCCGTGGAGTCAGTTCCGACTCACAGCGACCCTGCACAGGGTTTCCGAGGCTGTAAACCTTTACCGGAGCAGAAAGCCTCATCTTTCTCCCGTGTAACAGCTGGTAGTTTCAAACTGCTGTCCCTGAGGTTAGCAGCCCGATTCTTAACCACTACGCTACCAGAGCCCTTAGGGATTCTAAAAACCATCACCACAACCTTCTCTGACTTGATTTCAACAGCCTCAGCAGATCCCCTCAGAAACCACTATGTGCTTACATGGTTTTTTTGGAAGACACCCCTGATGAAACTAAGAAAAGTGTACAAGCTGAGAGAACTTATCTGAAATCCTCCACTGATTGGAGAAAAATGTACTTTTCAAACATGTTTTCTTTGGAGTAAGCCCCTGCATGTAGGAACAGAAACTCAAGAAGCAATGTTTTCTGACTTACTCTTGTATCTGACCTATGTTGGTGGTGTTGGATAGGGGCTGTTGAGTCAGTTCTGACTCATAATGACCCTGTGCACATCAGAGCAAAAATACTGCCCCGTCCTGGGCCATCCTCACAATTTTTGCTTGGACCCATTTTTGCTGCCACTGTGCCAATCCATCTCCCTAGGGGTCTTCCCCACTTACACTGACCATCCAGTTTACCGAGCAGTATTGTTGTCCATAGTTTGTCATGATCCACACAATAGAAATCCATAAAGCACGGGTAAACATCTTTCTGGTATTCTCTGCTTTCAGCCAAGATCCATCGGACATCAACAATGATATCCCTCGTTCCAGGGCCTCTTCTGAATCCAGCTTGAACCTTTGGAAATTCTCTGTCAATGTATACTTGCAGCCGTTTCTGTATTACCTCCTGCAGTGCTATATACTAAAATCATTCTAAAGTTGCTTCCATTCGCACATTAACTGCTTCTCTGAAGAACTCCATTGAGTATTTAAAAAATACTAAACTCCACTGAGTAATAAATGGATCTTATTGTAAATTTTGGAGTCCTGGTGTGGCACTGTGGATTAATGCACCAGACTGCAAAGCCGTCTGAACTGCAAGGTCGGTGGTTCAAGCTCACCAGTTGCTCCTCGGAAACCTTATATAGGGTCGCAATCTACTCGACAGCACTTAACAACCGACAACAATGTAAATTTTATCTTGTAAGCCAGACTAGCCATCTCCTCTTCCTTGTTAAGTTTCCTTGTAATTTGGGTCTAGTATTACCATGCAGGACTGTTCCATAGTGAGCTGTGGGTCATACATCAATCCAAACATACTCTTCCATTCTGTAGCATTCAAAACTAAAGACACTGTCCCTAACTCAGCTGCTATCACAGTGCACTTTGGTAACGGTTCTTCAGGAAGCTAATGATACCAATCTACAAACTGAAGCAATTCCTTTGTACTATATGGGCTGGTTTCAATAGGTGTACTTCCTACTGTTCTAACCTAATTTTTTCTTTTCTGAGTTGAAACAAGTGTTACCATCAGCCCCTACATTCTTTTTCCTTGCCATCGCAGTTACTGGTAACAAAAACCAAGCATTTGTTATGTCTCCTTTTTTTCTTATCACTCTGCATTTCCATAAGCATCCAACTAATTCATCAGAATTTAAATCTATACCAATTCTGGATCATGAATAGCTTTTGCCTTGGGTATCATCCATGGATGATTTTTATCCCATCCAGAAACCAAAGGTTCTTTATTTTCCCATTTATTTCCTTTTCCAAGGAGTTCTGATAGCATAGTGGTTACAAATCAGGCTGCTAACCTCAGGGTCAGCAGTTCAAAACTACCAGCTGTTCTGCGGGAGAATGATGAGGCTTTCTGCTCCCGTAAAGATTTACAGCCTCAGAAACCCTATACAGGGTCGCTATGAGTCAGAACCAACTCCACAGCACATAACAACAATGTTCAAAGGCCATACTTTGTCTTTAGTGGACTTATTTTAATTTTCTTCAGCTTCAGCCTGAACTTGTATATGAGCAATTTATGGTCTGTTCCACAGTCTTTCACTAGCCTGGTTTGGGTAAACGATATGGAGCTTTTCACTGTCTCTCCTCATGTTGTGACAAGTGCTGTCAAGTCAATACTGACTCACAGCGACCTTACATACAACAGAACAAAACACTGCCAAACTCACAACCACTATTATGCTTGAGCCCATTGTTGGCGCCACTGTGCCAATCTATCTCATTAAGGGTCTTCTTCTTCTTCAGACCCTCCACTTTACCAAGCATGATGACTTTCTACTGGTCACTCCTGAAAATGAACTGAAAGTACGAGACACGGTGTCTGGCCAACCTTTGCGTTCTAATCACCAGTAGTAATCAATACATCTTGAATGCATGTTTGATCCATTTCAGACTAAAGAAATTGGTAGAATTCTTCAATTTCATAAGTGATGCGTTAATTTGAATAATAGTTGTGTTAACTAGTCTTTCTTGTAAGCACATGGATATTATCCTATCACAGAAAATGCTGTACTTCAAGACAGATCTTAAAATGTTCTTTTTGATAATAATTTGATGCCATTCCTCTTCAATTCGTCCTTCCCAGAATAGTAAACCATGTGGTTGCCAGATTCAAAATGACCAATTTTGAAACTGAAATGTCCATTTCAGCTCACTAATGCCTAGGATATCAACATTCATGTGTTCCATTTTATTTTTGACAGCTTAAAAATTTTCCTAGATTCATACTTAATACGTTCTATATTCCAATTATTAATGGCTGTTTACAGCGGATTCTCCTCATTTTGAGTTGTGCGCCATCAGGAGATACAAATCTCAAACACTTTACTCCACCTGCATCATCAAGGTCAACTATATTTTGAGGAGACAGCTCTATCACAGCCATATTTTGAGTGCCTTCCAACCTAGGGGCTCAATTGCTAGCACAATATCTGACAATACTCTGGTATTCTTCATCATGTTTCAATATTCACAATTTTGGTGCTATCTGACAGTGGAACACTGCTATTCATAAGGTTTTCAGTGATCAAATATTCAGAAATAGTCTGTCTCTCCTTCCTAGTCTGTCTCAGTCTGGAAACGCATCTGAAATCTGTCCACCATGGGTGACTCTGATGGTATTTAAAATACTGGAGGCATAGCTTCCAGAATCACAGCAATACACAAGCCACCACAGTAAAGCAAACTGACAAATGGTGGTTCTTCCAAAGATGTAGTCAATTTCATTACTTTATATTCCATCTGGTGTGGTCCATATGAATAGTCTTATTTTACATTGTTTTTAAAAGGTAACTGCAATGAATAATTCATTGTTGTTGTTGCTCTAAGAGCAGTCAAGTCGGTTCCAACTTATAGCAACCCTGTATAGGGTTGCTGAGTAGAGGCTGAAGAGTTTTAAATGCCAACCTTGTAATTTAAACCAACCTTGAAATCCAGTGCTTATCCTGAAGCAATATACAAGGACTCAGAATAAGTCGTTGGTCTTGCAAAATTCTCTCATGTGATCGTCAATATCATTTCTATCACCAAAGCCGTATTTTCCAATTACTGATGCTTCCTCTTTGCTTCCACATTTTGCATCCCAATCACCAGAAATTATCAATACATCTTAGATGCACATTTGACCAATTTTAGACTAAAGAAGTTGATAGAATTCTTCAGTTTAGCAGTCGGTGCGTAAGGTTGAATAATAGTGGTATTAACTGGTCTTCCTTGTAGATATAATTACAACATTATACTTCAAAATAGATCTTAAAACACTCATTTTGATGGTGAATATGACACCATTCTTCTTCAATTTGTCATTTCCAGCAGAGCAAAACATGTCATTGTCAGATTCAACATGGACAATAACAAGTCCATTTCAGTCTATTATTGCTAGGACATCTATCTTTATGTGTTCCATTTTTGACAACTTCCAATTTTCTTAGATTCCTAATTCCATATTCTGGTTATTAATGGATGTTGACAGCTGTTTCTCGTAATTTTGATATGTGCCCCATCAGCAAATGAAGGTCCTGAAAGCTT